TTGCAGGTTAACTGGAGGCAAGAGTTGCTCAGACTTATCTGCCCAAGCTGTTTTTGATCTTTAGGTCTCATTCTACTAAGTTGCTAAGATTAGAGGTATGAACCACCAGTGTCCATCTTTGTACTGCTCATCTCTTAACCTTGATTTTATCCTACAGGCCAAACCGAGAAAAAGAAATACATACTGAGTGTATACTTGACATAGGGCTATTTGAAAGGGGCACAGAGGGAAAATTATAAATTGTATGTCTTGAAGTGTATTCACAAGCTAGTTTTCCCCAACTTCCTGACACCTTTATGTTTTTTTAGTTTGTTCTTTGATTCCCCAAATGGATAGTTAATCAATACAGAAGGAGTTGGACATTTCACTGTATGCTTATTTACATCAGATTATGTTTATCTCACATCACTCATGACTGGTTAACAGAAACAGAAGGTGAGAACTCATATGTCTATAGTTTATAGACTCTCAGAAAAATCACTCAAATGTAAAGTACAAGATCCCGAAGGAAGGTTCTAAGTCCTTAATGCTTTGGACTGATAGACTAATAAATAGAATGGTAAGAGACCAGTGAAAATTTTTTTTCCAAGTCTCAAAGGAAATCACATCAAGTTCTCCATTTGGCAGCTGAGATTTAAAAAAAAAAAAACAATAACCAAGAAAGCAGAGGTTTGTTCTGTTTAGTGTTCTAGCCCTTTTTGGTAAGAGTGGTCCATTGCTATTGAAGTGTGGCAGGCACTGGTCCATGTAAATACAGGACTGCTGATCCCCAGCCGCCCACTTCTATCATCTGCAGGGTGTAGCACTTTGTGGAACCACAGAGCATGCTTAAACATTTAGCTTTATGCAGCAAGCTATTGCCATCGGCGAGAAGATTCTCTATGGACACCAGTGCCGCATCACGAGGGCAGAGTTGTGGACTTTCACACTGCTCTTAATTTCCCACAGGTGGTATGAACATGGTTTGCAATGGAGGACAAATACTTCCCCGATTGAAAAATCCACAAAAACAACTCCACTGACCCGAGGCAAAATTAAGAAGGCTTTGTCAAATAAAGAAATGAAATCCTATTTTAATTCACACATAAACAATGAAATGGAGCTGATTGCAGGGAATGGAAAAAACTCTTTGCAAGATATGTATTATAAGAGCTTTCTGTTTGAATTTAAGGCATACTTTGGATAGATCAGGGGCAGTACTGGCTGGGCTTGGAGTAAACTATATTAACATGATCTTTCTCTGTCTGGCATCTGGGGCTCTGTTCTAGATGGTAGTGTTGAGACTTCCCAGACTCTGAAGAGGGCATTTTACTCTATTTATAAAAATATGTGAAACACTTTTCTATTTTATTTCTGTTGTCCTTCACCCAGGATGCAGTGTAAGAGAGTCACAATTTTTTTTTATATAAACCACAGTGTTTGAGAATTTGGACTCTGTCAAAACACAGGTCTCTCATCAGTTTGGCTCAGGGTACACTTTGGAGAGGGTCACGAGCACCTTTGAAATGGTGGTAAGTCAGATGACTTCCACTTACATATTCCTCAGCTGCACCCCCAGAACAAGCGAGGGCAGAGTCCGGTGGACCAGTCCCAATGCCTCTTAATCTATTATCTTGGCAAAGGAGAGTTGCTTTCCCTCACTTTTGCTCTACTCTACTTCCTTCCTGTCAAACTAAACTCAGTCATCCCTTTTTTGTTGTTGGTTGGGGGCTTGAACTCAGGGCCTGGGTGCTGTCCCTGAGCTCTTTTGCTTAAGGCTAGTGCTCTACCACTTTGGGCCACAGTTCCACTTTCATGTTTCTGGTGATTCATTGAAGATAAGAGCTTTATAGACTTTCCTTCCCAGGCTGGTTTTGAACCGTGATCCTCAGATCTCAGCCTCCAGAGTAGCTAGGCTTACAGATGTGAGCCACCTGGCTAACTCAGTCATCCTTTAAAAGCCCTTGAGCTCTGCACCTGAGGCATGGAGACCCTAGAGGCCCATGGGAGCTATGACGGTGCAGGAATTATGATTGGATGGTGTGTTCTATAAAAGCCTGATGCTAGCAGAAAACTGTGTGTGTGTGTGTGTGTGTGTGTGTGTGTGCCTGATCTTGTGTTTGAGTAAAGACACAAGATTTTGAGTGCTTGACATTACACAGAGATCCTTTCCAAAGACAGAATTAGTGCCTGTACATCCTTAATCTTTTCTTTTTTCTGGACATTCTGTTATCTACCTCTTGGAATGTACCCTTTGATCTGTACACTGAGACTGTCCCCAGCTAATATCTACTCTCTAACCCATTAAAACTAGAGGACAGACAAAACTGTAGAGTGTTTTGTGTGTGTGTGTGTGGGGGGGTCTTTCCATAAACTCTTCCTCATCTTTTCTTTTCTTTTTTTTTCAGTCGTGGGACTTAAACTCTGGGCCTGGGTGTTGTCCCTCAGCTCTTCAGTTCAAGGCTAACGCTCTACCACTTGAGCCACAGCTCTACTTCCAGCTTTTGCTGCTTATGTGGTGCTGAGGAATTGAATTCAGGGCCTCATGCATGCAAGGCAAGCACTCTACCACTGAGCCACCTTCCCAACCCTTTCTCATCTTTTTTAGCTATATGAATATATGTTCAGTCATCTTTTCTCATCATCACAATGTCAGGTGGACAGAACTGGCACTGAGTGAGGCACACACATCTCTCCTGTATTTGGGGGCTGAAAAATTTCATCTCAGAAACTGAGATTGATAGGGAGGATATGAATGATATGCTCCAGGGAGATGTGTTGGTTCTTTTTTAGACAGACTTTCATAGTGGGAAGATGACTCAACATGTAGTCTAGTTCATGTTTTATTAAATGATCATCTCTTAAGACTCTTGATTTGAAGATTCCTCTTCATGGAATGGAAGCCATGATCAGGAAGATGGCTGAGGTTGGGAAGATTTCCAACCTGGATTCAGGAAAACAGAGGCTATTAAGATGTATGTCCTACATGTAAGATTCCTTAAGGGTTACTGAGTAGTATTGTATTAAGGTCAACATGCGACGAAATCTAGAGTATATTTTTTAAAAAAGTTTGAAGGTTTCCTCTCATAAAGGTTTACTTAAAAATCTTAGTTCTCTCTAGAACTTCTTTAAAAAAAATCTAACAGATTAATATTCTTCATACTGCTAAAAAAATTGTAATTTCATGACATGGGCAATTGTGTTCATACTGTTTGCTATTTCACTTAGTTCTGTGGAGGTCTTTGGTCAGACAGAGCCCCTCCTAGGTAAGCCTGCCAAAGATAGAAGGGGTTCTTTATGCTTGAGAGGAACAGGAAGACTTCCCCAATAGAGGAGAAATGCAATCCAAGCCAGCATTTTCAACTCATTTCCCCAGAAGCATTTATTATGTTTTTTAAATTGAAATTTGCTAAGAAGTAGCTAATTGACTTGTGGCTTACATTGAAAACTACCAAACCAAAAGACAAAGGGGAAATGAATTAAATATCTCACGCTACACAGACTTAAGTGGCCATTGAAAATGGGGTGGTCACATATCGATAATTTCACATTCACTTGGTGTAACACAGTATCAAAAAATATGATAGACAGACATACTTAATTTCAGTTTGCTTTTGTTTTTCCTGGTCTCTTCCACGCCCTATCCCTTTTTTCTGGTATGCAACGAATAAAGAATGTGAAATCATTTCCTTTATATAAGTATCTGAATAATGTTTTGCTTTTTGTTTTTGTTGTTCTGAGTGATGATAGTTATTCACAAAAGTAGCAAAATGCATGGTTTCCAATAAAGTGAATTCAGCTTCCCGTGTAAGGAAAATGAGAAACACAGCAATTTGGTACTAAAATTTAGTAATGTCAAAGCATTTACCTATCTAGTAGGACTTTTTCCTACCAATGGAAACAAGCTTGCAAAAAGTCACATGATGTGTTTACTGGCGTCCAGTTGTAACAAAGAACTAGTTTCAAGAAGCAGATCGGCTTTGTATTATAAAAATATCAAAAGAGTAATTGATTTGGGATGGTGGTAGATTGTTTTCTTTGGAAGTTTGCTATCGGTTCATATTTCAAAGTATAAAATAATTTTGCTCATCAAAATATACAACTGGTGATAACTGTTACCCCCCTTTTTTTGCATCTACATTGGCTTAGTGGAAAATGAATATTCACTAAGAAAAATCTGAAAGTCTATTTACATTTCTTTCACATTCTAGAAGGTATTTTCAGTATTCTGGTATGTCCTTCTTTGCAAGATGAAGACAATTATTGAACCCCTAACAGCCATCTATAAAGGGGACATGTTACAACTCAAATTCAACTAACCTAAGAACCCAATGTCCAAATTCTATTGAGTTTCAGGAGTTTGGAATACAGTGATTTCCTCTGAATCTTTGGAGATCATCAAACACCTTTTACTTCTGCTACAGACAGTTTTGGAAATCATATATCATATTTCCTATGTGTTCCAAGTGGAACTGTGTGTCAACAACACACAGACACACCTCCGCCCAGGACTAACAACACACAGACACCCCTCCTCCCAGGACTAACAACAATGGTGACAGGGCAGGAGGCTCACAGTGACAATGCCCAGCTGCTCCCACCTGAACCTGTGTGAATACAGAGCTCAGGCCACCATGATTCTGGCTCTCCCCAGGGAGCTATTCACCCAGAGGCTTGGTGCCAGGTGTGTGTGGGGGGAGGGGTGCACGGTGTTAATGGGGGCGGGCCTGAAAAAGCCTCTCGGGTATACGCTTGCATGATTTACACATTTCTTTGTGACCATAATTACCAGCTGCTTCCAATATCCTAAACCACACATGAACAGCAGCACCAAACCACAGATTCATTAAGGGATTAAGCAAGAATAGAATAACACTTGAAAATTCAGTTGCCATGGGTGAATGTATGTGTGTGTGCGTGTCTGTGTGTGTGAGAGAGAAATGCATATTGAAAATATTGGCCACACACTTCCAGTGCTGTTGAATGGTAACATAACTTCAGATAGGGTTGAGCAGCATCTCTCCTTGCTGCTCCCAATTAATTGGTGACTACTAGTCTGGGGGCAGGGAGCGGGTGACAGCAGGGGAAAAATATGAATCAAGTGCTCCTCACTCATCACGAAGGGAAAGCCTTAAAGATACAGGTACCCAACCCAATAGACCAGGTTAAAGAGCAGGAAGGACGTGGGGAAAAAGACGCGAGAGTAGGAGTCCAGCTCCGAGATGTCTATGTGAATCCGCCCTTTCCTCCAAGATCCCGATTTACATTCTTCATAGCAGCAGAAGAAACTCTGGCAGTCTTTGCCATCCAGACACTCATAAACACAGGTGTCTTCGAATTCCTGCCAGTACACGGAATTATTTAAAGTGATCATCGCAGGTGGCGGTGGCCTCATGTCAAGGAGAGAATAGTTCTGTAGGCAAAAAAAGAATTAACATCATAATCATCGGAAGATGCAAGGAAAACATCCCAAGAGAAATTCTGGGATGGGTACATCTGTGTGTGTGTGTGTGTGCGCGCGCACATGCGCGCTCGCAAGTGCGTGTGCGTGCTGGTCCTAGGGCTTGAACTCTGAGGCACTGTCCCTTAGCTTTAATTTTTTTTTTTTTAATCAAGGATAGCATACTCCACTTACGTTACAGCTCTACTTCTGGCTTTTGTGTGGTTAATTAGAGACAAGAGTCTTATGGACTTTCCAGCACTGGCCGGCTTCGAACTGTGATCCTCAGATGGCAGCCCCCTGAGTAGCCAGGATTACAGGCGTGAACCATCAAAGACTGACTGGGATCTGTACATGGTACATTTGCTACTAGGTAAAGGAAACGAAGGGCAGTCATCCTATTCTCCAGTTTGACAGCATCTGGCCAGATCACTCTTTCTGCCGTTGTAACTCAGATGCCGGGAAAACTACATGGCAGTATCAAACTCTATCACCCGGATTATTGAGGAGGGAGGATGAGCACATTTCCAAATGGATGTTAGCCCCTTCAAGCCTCTTGTCTGGCCACTGTCCGGCTGACTTGTGGCAAACAAGGACATCTTACATAGTTCTTTCTCTAATGTGAAACAAGTATACATCAAAGTGCTCAGAGAAGCTGAGTGTAGGTGGCTCATGCCTGTCATCCTAGCTGCTCAGGGAGGCTGAGAGCTGAGCATCAAGGTTTGAAGACAGCTCAGGCAAGAACATCTGTGAGAATTTCATCTTCAGTTAATCAGCAGAAAGCCAGAAGGGGGAGATGTGATTCAGGTAGTAGAGCCCTAGCCTTGAGCATGAGAGCACACTCTCCTGGGTTCAAGCACCAGTACAAGTACAAAATAATAATAATAATGATAATACATATTTAAAAAGGGGGCTGGGAAGGTGGCTCAGTGGTAGAGTGCTTGCCTCGCGTGCACGAGGCCCTGGGTTTGATTCCTCAGCCCCACATAAGCAGAAAGAGCCAGAAGTAGTGCTGTGGCTCAAGTGGTAGAATGCTAGCCTTGAGCTGAAGAGCTGAGGGACAGCACCCAGGCCCAGAATTCAGGCCCCATGACTGACAAAGAAAAATAAAGAAAAAAGAAAAAAAGAACCTCTGTAGGTGAGAGGACAGCTCATCAAAAATTGGTGATTTCAATAAGCTGCAAGAAAGTAGCAGAAAGGTTTCATGCCTTCATTGCAGGACCTGAAATCCTATGGTCACTAAAACCTAAAAGACACTTTATACAATATTCAAGACAGCGCTCTGTCTTGATAGTTTCAGGATTTAAGATGACATGAATTCCATTTTACAAGGTAGAAAAAAACGAAGTTAGAATGTTCACAGCCTTTACATGGCTACACCTTATATTGTTTAAGCTGTTTCTTTACATTTCTCATGAATATTTCAAACCATCTAAGACAGTGGTTTTAATGAATACTTTCTAGGTCATCTTTGGCTAGAGCTGGGTCCTGGATTTATTCCTCTTTTGTGTATAATGTAACCCTGGCACCTTCTTAAATCATTATTATGCTTCCCAGGCACAAGCAAAGTACAGGAGCTTTCTATCTGGTATTTTAGGAAACTGAGGCACAGAGAAGTGAGGACCACTTGCCCAAACCACCGAAGTGATTGCTCATGGAGCCTGGGTCCTTGCCTCTCATCACTGAAGGGGGAGGGTGCTGTTCATCTCTGCTTTTTTTCTTGTGAATAATGGCAGAGTTAAAATGGTGACAATTCTTACGTAATAGCTGAAAAATCTCATTTTTCTTTGGCTGTACTCTGAGCTCTGGGCTGAAGGTTTCTTTGATTTTTTTTTTTGTGTCTTCTCACCTGGTCTGACACTCTTGGTTTATAAATTGTTTTGTTTTATTTTTCTTTGTGCTTTCTTCAAGGTCATTAAACACATCCCCTGATTTTTTTTTCAAGTCTCCTAGCTTTGAGGACATTTCTTTTTTCTTCTCTGCATTAAAGGATTTCTTTATTTTGTCAGTATCATTTCTACACCAAAGATGTCAATATTTCTTTCCTTCAACTCCCCACCCCCTGGCTGTGTGTGAAATACGTGTCCTTGGAGTCCTGATTTGTACCATGCAGGCACCCTCTTCCTTCCCTTCTGTTTCAGTCTGGTTCTATTTGGAAGCCTCTGCTGGCTTCCCAGAGCTGTAAGAACGCCATGCCCACTAACCTTCTGCCAGCACGCCCCTGATTCTACACTTCCAGAGTACAAATAATAAGAGTCTCCTTATGAAACAAGACCAAGATGTATTCAATTACCATATCCTTGTGATGACGAGGCACAAAGCACGCTGGGAATTCCTGTACCTAAAGGGAGGAAAGTCCTGACAATTTCCATCATGCAAACTTTGTCCTATGATAAAAGTGGTAGTGCATTGTAGAGGTTTATTGAGACATTTCTCAATTTTTCATGAGAACTACGTTCCAGCCTTAACTGTTTGCTAAAGGTTCAGGTGCAGTAATCATTGAAAAACAAAAGATTTGTTTTGAAACTGTCCAACAACAGGACTTAATTCTTCCACTCTCCTCATCTGTAGGAGGTGTTGTTGTGAGCACACAACGAGCTGAAATTCTTAGACGTGTATTGGAAAGCAAAAAGTTGGAAATGAAAAGCTAACAAATTTGACAACGTGAATCTTAAAATAATGTATGTATAACAAGGCACAGGAGCTGGGCACTGGTGGCTCATGTCTGTAATCCTAGCTCCTCAGGAGGTTGAGATCCAAGGATTACAGTTCAAAACCAGCCTGGGTAGAAAAGCCTATGAGACTCTTATTTCCCATGAACTGCCAAAAAGCCAAAAGTAGAACTGTGGCTCAAGTAGTGGAGCCCTAGCCTTGAGCAGAAAATCTCAGGAACAGTGCCCAGGCTCTGAGTTCAAGCCCCAGGATCAGGACCAGAACCCCCCTCATCCCCTCCCTGAAAAATCAAACACAGAAAAATGCCTGTGCTAATGTTGCCAATGAAAACTGGACTGTAAACCACATTACAAACACTTGTTAGTGGCCCTCATGTGTTCAACAGGTAACAGTACAAATTTCAAATTTTCTATCAAATGCTATAAATAAAATAATAGTATATAATAACTGGCAGATGTCTACTTTACAATACTAATAAAATTTAAAAGATAATGAAAAGCATCCCACCAAGAAAAAAAGAGAAAGGAATGCAAATAAAAGGAAGCCATTGGAATGATTTCTTCCTATCACTAACCAAATGCCAACAAGGAAAGTGAGTGGGGGCATTTGTTTGGTTTTTCCAACCAAATGCGAGAGGGTTTGAAGAGGTGATGTGGCCAGCCTTGGGGGCTGGTGGGAGGCCATTTGACAAAGACCATGCAGTCCTTCAGTGTCTAGAAATCTGTAACTTAAGGGAAAGAGTGCCTGCCTGTCTGGCAAAATGTGAGGCCTTGAGTTCAAATCCTAGTACCACCAGCAAAATAAATAAATAAATAAATATATATATATATATATACACACACACACATACATATATAGACATATATATGTATGCATATGTGTATGTATATATGTATGCATATGTGCATACCATGCACCAATTCCTGGGTAGGAGTGTGATTAGTTTTTTCTTCCAGTTTGCAAATGTTCTAAGATGCTTTTTTTTTTTTTTCAGAAAAAATAGTACCAAAACATGTTCAAGGGAGCACGTGCAGTATTACCAGTACTCAGTACATGTGTATGTGAGCAGGAACGTATCTTTCAGGTGCAAGTTTGATTTAGTCAACCGACTCAAGAATACTGGCACCCATCAGGCAATACATACGGAGGGCGTCTGGAGGCTTATGCGCTCGTGAATCCACCTTGAGGAATCTGGATGTAATAGCTATGCGAAAAGAAAAAAAAGTAATGAGAAAACTGCTGTGGATGTCTGCCCCCCAATCACCTTATTGCAGGCCATCTTTAAGGTCCATATACACTAACCCTAGTTGGGGGAGATGCTACACAGTTCTAATGCTAGCTACCCAAGAGCCAGAGGTAGGAGGACCAAGGTTTGAGGCCAGCCCAGGTAAAGTTAACAAGGCACTACTTCAGAAAGAAAAACAAAAGGGAGGCAAGAACATGGTTTGAGTGGTAAAGAGCTCGCTAGTAAATGGGCAAACTTGGGTTTAATCACTACTATTGCAAAACAAAACAAACAACAACAAGCAATCTGGAGATGTGGAAGGCCAAGCTTATCAATTCCTATTACATTACATACACAGTTAACCACTTTGGATTCTTAGGAATCCAACGGGAAATTGTGTGTGTGTGTGTTTTTCAGGAACGTGTCCAGCCCTTCCTAGAAAAAAGAAAGCATGTTGCCTCCTCTGTCCCTCACCGATGTTTTCTTCTTCGTGACTACAGGTTTCCTACAGCTCGAGTAGTAATTCAGGGTGGCGTACTCCATCAGGGCAGCAAAGACGAACAGGAAACACACGGTCACGAAGAGGTCCATGGCGGTGACGTAGGACACTCGAGGGAGGGACTTCCTGGCGATGGTGCTGAGAGTGGTCATGGTTAGCACCGTGGTGATGCCTGCACAGGGAACAGTCACCAGATTATAGAGCACACCATGCAACCAAAGCAGAAGATCCAGCTCTCCTCTCTCCACGGGTATGTCACCGAACCTTGCTGACTCCTGCGTGCAGCTCTCCTTATTAATGTTTGCATAGTTTATAAGCAAAGTTGCATCCTCCTCCTCCTCCTCCTCATCATCATCATTATATTATTTTGGTGCTGGTACTGGAGCATGAACTCAGGACTTAGGGGCTGTCCTTCAGCGTTGTCGCTCTAGGCAGGTGCTTTACCATTTGAACCACAGCTCTACTTTATGGCTTGTTAGTGATCAACTGGAGATAAAAAGTGTCACAGGTTTTCCTGCCGAAGCTGACTTCAAACTGTGATCTTATCTCTGCCTCCTGACTAGCTGCGATTGCAGGTGTGAACCACCAGGGCCTGGTATCTCCTCCCCTCTTCCCTTTTGACCCCCTTTCCTTTCTCTTTCTTTTTATTTTGTTCATGGTACTGGGGCTTCAAACTAGGACCTCATTGCTCTTGCTTGGCCTTTTTGCTCAAAGCTGGCACTCTACCACTTCAGCCACAACTCCACTTCTAGCTTTTTGCTGGTTAAACAGGAGATTTTTCTCCTTGGGCTGGCTTCAGAGATCCTCAAATCTGAGCCTCCTAAGTAGCTGGGATAAAAGTGTGAGTCCCTGACATTAGGTTTTTATATGCTTTTCTAATTCATGATAATTTCAGTTTACCAGGGCATAATAGTGTTTTACATTGAGGAACATCTTCACCTAACATGACTATTTGATTCATTTAATAATCCTCTTATAGTTTGACATTTTTCTTTTAAATATTTTTAAATAAAGATACATTATGTGGTATTTCATAATTCACATTTTTCCTCCTGCCATAGGCCCTCTCTCCCTTCTTTTATTCCTCCCTCCCTCCCTCCCTCCCTTTCTCCCTTCCTTCCTTCTTTCCTTCCTTCCTTCCTTCCTCCCTTCCTCTTGCTTCTTTCTTTCTTCTGTCCTATTCAACCTGTACACTCCTACCAATTTCCAAGGCCCCATCTCACTCTTCCTGAGCTGACACACCTCCACAGTGTGAGCAGGTGTGATCTATGCTAAGACTCCACCTTCTGTGTACCTCAAGATTTTTGTAGTAACACAAATCAGCTTTTTAAATCAGTGTAGTGAGTTGAGGGCTGGTGGCTCAGGTCTTTAACCCCAGCTACTCACTCAAGAGACTGAGATATGAGGATAGTGGTTCCAAGCCAGCCTGGGCAAGAAAATCAATAAGACTCTTCTCTCCAGTGAACTCACAAAAAAAATTGCCAAAACTATGGCTCAAGTAGTAGAATTCCAGCAGTGAGAAAAAAGGCTAAATAGAAGCATGAGGTCTTGGGATGGGAGGGTGGCTCAGTGGTAGAGTGCTCACCTCGCATGCATGAGGCCCTAGTTCGATTCCTCAGTACCACATAAACAGAAAAGGCTGGAAGTAGTGCTGTGGCTCAAGTAGTAGAGCACTTGCCTTGAGCTGAAGAGCTGAGGTACAATGCCCAGGTCCAGAGTTCAAGCCCCACAACCGACAAAAAACAAAAACATGAGGTCTTGAGTTCAACCCTCAGTGCTAACTAGCATGCATACAAAAAATAATCAATGTAGTGGAAAAAGAATTTCAGGGTCTTTGTTTCATACTATAGGGAAACACATTTTATATGAAATGCAGTGAATGATGGAGTAGTTGTAATTATATATATATATATATATACACACATATACATATACACATACATATATGTATGTATAAAGAGTCAGGTGCTGATGGCACGTATCTGTACTCTTAGCTACTCAGGAGGATGAGATCTGAGTCTTGAAGTTCAAAGCCAGCCCAGGCAGGAAATCTATGAAACTCTTAATCTCCAATTAACCACCAAAAAGCTGGAAGTGGAGTTGTGACTCAAGTGATAGAGCATAAAAGCTAAAATGCAGCATCCAGGCTCTGAGTTGCGCCCCATTATCAACACCAGAAAATACTAAATAAAAAATTTTAAAAAGTACGAATATAAATAAAAAAATTAAAAAGGGGAAAAAACAAGGAAAAAAGAACCCCTAGCTCCTAGTTACATCTATTACATTTGAAGATGTTTATGAATGCTCCTATATTAAACTTGCCCAAGATGAAGGAAGGTTTTTATGAAACTTACCTAATGCTGTTCTGGCAGGTGTAGCATCTTTTTTGATCCAGAATGACACCCAGGATAGAACCACCGTCAGGATACAGGGAATATATGTCTGAATGGTGAAATACCCCATTCTTCTACTCAATTCAAAATAGATAGTCATGACAACATAATCACCTGGAATGAAACATGATAAAAAATTAAGAACTATTGTCAGGCATTAAAAAATTATGCAGAGAACTAATTTATCATTTACTTTGCAAAATGAATAACTAGACAAAGAGAGCAATATCAAATCAGGAAAATGATCAACATGTGGGTGTTCTTAAACTGAAATTTTACAGCAGACATAGCTTTATGTGAGGCATTTTACTGCTCATGGAACAGACAGGAAAATAAATTGATATTAATCGATAGAGGAAGCAAACTTGCACATATGATCCACAGCAAGCCATGATTTGATAAACTCTTCTTAGTATAGTTTATTTGTATGTTGTATAATTAAAATCAAGGGTAACAGGTAAACTCAACCCTCAGAGCATTTTTTTGTTTGTTTGTTTTGTTTTTGGTGCCAATCCTGGGTCTTGAACTCAAGGCCTACATACTGTCCTTGAAATGTTTTTGCTCAAGGCTAATAAGGTACCACTTGAGCCGCGGCTCCACTTCCTTTTATTTATTTATTTTTGTGGTTAATTGAAAATAAGAGTCTCATGGACTTTCCTGCCTGAGCTGGTTTTAACCTTTAATCCTCAGACCTCAGCCTCCTGAGTAGCTAGGATTTCAGACTTCAGCCACTGGCTGAGAGCCAGTCATTTTAAGGAATATTATTCAAGAATAATAGAGTTATTGTATACATAAACTCATGGGAACATTTTACATTTTTATTTTCCTATACTCTAGCTTCTACAATATTGCTATCCATTTTTTTTTGTCTTTTAGGCAACCTCCTGCTGAATTGTTCTCTCCTTAACTTCCCCATTTAGGTCCTCTAGTCCTCTAGCTGCTGGATTCAACTTTCCAGAACTGAACTATCATCTGCACCTGGACACCTGCTTTTCTCACGTGCTCAAGGTAGACAATCAGAAGCTATCATTGACTCCCCCTCGCTTGTCAACAGTTTTAGCCACCACCTCACTCTCAAATTCCTCTCCTGCTAGGCATCACTACCGTCTCCATCACAGTTCTAGCAGTCTCTCCACATCCAATGCTCTTCTGCTCCCTGCCATTCTATGTCCTGTCTCCAGAAGGATCATTACTCAAATACAAAGATCACCATAGCCTTCTCTTTCAACCCTTCACTAACATCATGGGATCCTTGTACAGCATTCACATGTTTACTGTACTCTACACCACTGCAAGGATAAGATCTTACCCCTTAACCTGGTTTCTTGGCATAAGCAATGCCCTTTTAAGAGGCAGCTGCCATCTCCTAAATTGGTAAGCAACTCTCACTGTCTGCTTGTTCTTTCAGTTAAGCCTCATCATGCAATCCCATTGAAAGGACAACTCGTTGCAGTAGAGGTACATCCTGTTCTAACTTGTTCCTGCTTTTTGTCTGGGTGTTCTGCATTAGAGTAATTGATTGAGTAAAAGAATTCTTGATGCCATTTCAAAGGAGCCAATCACTTAAGATTGTGAACCTAAGTTCTGGCCAATCAGAAGAGGAGGCAGTGGCGGACCGCTCACCCAGCGTGCAGTCGAATCAGACTCTTGTGGGTGGCACATCCTTCTGCAGGAGTAGGATTTGCCTTGCCAAGCAAGTCCTCAGTCTTGGCTTTCATTCTGTAGCGACATTCCAGGTCCCCAGATCCATTCCTAACACCACCTTTGCATGAAACACTCTGTGGTCTACATTGGTGCACAGACTTGTCAAGATCCCTCCCCCAGGCCTCCTAACCCCTCCCTTTCCTTCTGCCTAAAATGTTCGGCGTCCATTCTTGTCCCCCCCAAGTCTTCCTTCACACCCTCCCAATGACGGTGGTGAATTTTATCTTCAGAATTGCTAGTACTTGTCTTCAAATGGTTTGGGTTATAGACTATATCCCACTTTGTTTACCAGTATCACCTGATGATAAGCAATCCATGAATATTTATTGGGTGGAAAAGAATACCACTTTCATTTAAGATTGGCAGGGAGATTAGTGGAGTCCACCTGAGAGCTATGATTTTTCAATAAACTGAAATTGTGTTTGCTGGATGCTTTTTGTTCTATTATAGCAATAGGCAAGGAATGTTGATTTTTTTCAAAGAACAACATTAATTTGGGGACCACTTTTCCAAGAAACATTTAAAATCTCAAGCAAATTAGCATTTGAAGACAAAGGACTCAGGATGACTCAACTGAGCTGATAAAAGAACACAAAATGAAGCCAAAGTGACATCACTTATTCTGGGGGAGGGGGAAGAATGTAATTGAATTATGCTGCTTTTTTTCCCAAATGACCATTAATTTTTTTTGACACAAAATTTCAGACAAAGCTGGAGGAGGAAAAACAAACAAAAACAAAATAATGCATGACAAATCGCCCTAGGAGTGATGCAGGGAGCCCAGATGGAATATGCGAAGAATGAGGTGGCTTCTGCAATTGCCAGCGTCATACATCTTATGTCAGAGACAGATGGACAGTTCCAACGCAAACGCACATTCTGATTTAGCAAATCCATCTGCTTTCTTCCTACCTGAAGGGAAGGGATGCCAACCCTCCCTGAGATCCCGGCTTAACTGAGAGATCTTCCTGGACACTAGGCACCCTGCACGTTACTGAGCACTGGTGCTAGACGGCGGTGTGAGTGACAGAGCAGTAGCAGCTCCAGTCAAAGTCCCTGTATTGGGTGTGTGGATGGAGGACTGTAGGAAGCTATCAGTGATAGGTAAGAGGGTGGAAAAAATACCTTTTATAGTTACTGAAAGGGAATGATGGCTACTTTATTTATTTACTTACTTACTTATTTATTTATTGTGTGCCTGTCCTGGGGTTTGAACTCAGGGCAGAGGCATTGTTCCTGAGTTATTTTTTGCTCAAGGCTAGGTCTCTAACACTTGATCTACAGCTCTGTTTCTGGCTTTGTTGGCCAGCGGCGGCAGGGGTGGGGGGTGGGGCATTAATCAGAGATCAGAGTCTTACAAACTTTTCGACATGAGCTGGGTTTGAACCATAGTTCTCAGATCTCAGCCTCCTAGGTAGCTAGGATTACAGGAGTGAGCCATTCTTACCTGGCTAAGAATGTTTGCTATGTTTTTTTAAAAAATGCAAATCAGCCAGCTGCTGGTGGCTCATACCTGTAGTCCTAGCTACTCAAATGGCTGAGATCTGAAGATCTAGGTTGGAAGTCAGCCTGGGCAGAAACATATGTGCAACTCTTGTCTCCAATAAACCAGCAAAATCCCGGAAGTAAAGGTATGGCTCAAATGATAGAGCACCAGCCTTGAGCAGAAGGAACATACAAGAAAATGAGGCCCTGAGTTCAAGTCCTGGAATATACACACATGTGTGCATGCACACACACACACACACAAAACTAACCAGACGGTAGGTAATACCCTTTAGGCCATCCCCTAAAATAACATTTCAAACAAATTCAAATTTAAAAAATTAAATTCACTATTGAAAAATTTTAAATTCACTAGTTTTAAAATTCTGTCAATCAAGTGATGTCAATTTTAAAAGTATCGTCCTATTTTAAGTAAAAAAAGATCATCCCAGAAAATTTAGAAAAGTCTTTTTGTAGAATTCTTTATATTATCTCCGTTGCTAATGCTTTGGAAATAAACCTGTCAGGATATGAAATACGGATGCTGGGTCAAAGTAACAATGTCTAGTCCTTACTGGAGTCTTCATGGGTCACGGGGCTTTTTATCCAGCTCTGAAAACCCTAGACATGAGATAGGCCATTCTTCGAATTGCAGATAGATCATGCTGTTTAGTCCCAGGAAAGTTTTGCTACAGAGAATGCTCGCCCCTGAGGAGTCCCCTAGATGGTTTGCTTTGCTCACCCCTGGTTGTTCCCCTAGATGGTTTGCTTTGCTTAACACTTTTGTTAAGGCTTGGTTCCTACCACAAGCATGTGGTTTTTACCTTTAAAAGCTTTGTGCAAGCTACTTTCTGGGCTGCAGGTCTTTGAGACAGGAGTCTACCTGCAGTTGCCATCTTTCTAATAACGACTCCTGATTCTAATAAAGACTCCCAATTCAACCTCTCAAGATACGGCTTCTCTGTTTCTCATGGTCACGTTCCCATATAACATATATATCATCCTCTGTGTATATATGTGTGTGTCTGTGTGTCTGTGTGTGAGAGAAAGACAGACAGACAGAGACAGAGAAGGTTGGAAGCTAATATATAATTTCAAACATCCTAATGAGTCCAAGGACTAGCCACTTCTTCTAGAATTTACCCCAGCATTTTTGCTGTAGCATACCATTTCAAAGCCATTATTCATTATTATTTCAAAGTCATTATTTCACGGTCACACCTCATTTTATAAGAGGTACTAAAACCATCCTTTAAATCCTCTTAAGCATGAAGGCAATTTTTTCCATTCTGAGGTAATCTTTTCTTTCCTTCTCTCCCTGTTTTGATGTCTTTGCAAAATAGCCTAAAGTTACTAGTCCCACCCCTAAAACCAGTCAGCACCCAGTAATTAGCAAGTAATAGTCATCTTGGCTCAAAAAATGTCTTATCTTCCCCCATTTTTGTCTTCAGGTTCCCCCTGTCTTTTTGTTTTCTTTGTGTCATCTGTTCAGGAGTGTTAGGAAAATGGAGGAGAAAGGAAAAGTCTGGAGTTAAGTCTCAAAAGGCCAGAGTTAGTCTCAACAGGCAGTGAGGTGCAGCAACCTTCCCACGGGAGTGGAGGTTGTGCCAGGAGGTGGGGTTGGAGTTGGAGTTGGGCTTTTATGGGGTCTGAACAAAGAGACACAGATTAAGGCAAAGGATATTGGGGCTAGAGGAGGCAAGGACTTCCAGGGAGGCCCACAGTGGAATGTGACAGCCAGGCTCAGGTCACATTGCCCCACCTGTATGGCAAGCAGGTTTGTGTGGAACAGAGGTCTGATCCACAAAAAACAAGTACTGTTGGGTAGATGTCTACTTCCTAAATGATATTCGGTGACTAAACTCAGCCCATCTGTTTCACAAGAAGGTGTCTTGATGCAGAAGACAGTATGGAGTTTTCTAATG